TGCCTGTGTTCATCCATGATCCCTCTCTCTAAGAGCCACCTGGCTTCTCTACCTCTTCTATCAGGCCCCTTTTTCCTTTTGCAAAGGATTCAGTAAATAGTTAAGTTATTTCTGGTATAAAATTGTAAACTGAGTTCTGTTTATTGTCCCGTTCTTTAGGATGGGCAGGGACAGTCCCACCTAATGCCAAGAAAATGCCTTCTTTGGCTCCAGGCTTTATTGGGAGCCATTCTGGAGCCAAGGACATTTTGAGGCCTAGATCCAAGTCTGTATGGAGATGGCAGTGCATAATATTTTGTGAAAGATGGAAACTTAACAGTTGAATTCATTTAATAATTATTTAGTGCATACACCTTGTCGATGTATTAGGCCTCATTTTCATTTTAAAATTACCCCAACAGAAGACAGAGGCAAGCATAGGAAAAATTGCAAGTGACTTTAAATTCAATTCCTGAAACAAAATATTTGTGACACCAGTTACCAGCTTGTGCCCTTTTAATTGTAATTCTGCTTTGCCCAGCCCTTCTCTCATTTTCCAAATGTGTTTGAATCCAAAAAAAATGCCAGATTTCACCAAAATAAAAGAAGTAAAGGATCTCTTTGCTGACTCTGCTGGTAATGACACATCACGTTGCAAAACAGCTTTCCTGTAATTTTGGTTTTTAAATTTTGTCTTGAAATAATGTATTTAGAAGTGGACTTGTTTAGTTTATGTATATTTTTTTAATGGGGAAACCAAATATATGCAATAAGTAAAGAGCTAACATACAAAACTCAGTATTAGGTGAGTCTCTTCATGATAAGTAAAAATATTTTAATAATTGCATTTCTCCAGTACTGTGTTTTCTGTATTACTCTGAGTTTAAATTTAGGGTATAGTTTGAGCATTGTACCATGAAATGGGATGCAGATCTGTCTGTGTTGCAGCCAGGGAGTCAAGCAGCCTTGGTTTTGGTGTGCCTAATCCAAAGCAGAAGTAATGAAAAGGACTTCTGGTTTGAGCTTATTTGCTAAACTTCCTTATTTGTGACCGACAATAATTCAGATCTGGAAATCTGATCCTGACTCACCCATCTGGCTTTTTGTTTTAGAAATATAGGTCAGTTCTAACATAGTGAATCATGCAAGTATTTTTATCTGCAAGAAAAAGACATATATACGTTACATTTTATTCCCAGGGCTCCTTTCCTGCCTTCTAGGGTTTTTGGAGGGGAATGTTGTGTGTTTGCATTCCTGTGTTTGAATTTTATAATCTCCCAACCTGAGCTTTTCTGCAAGGGTTCCAGTAGATTTTTGTATTCCTGTTAATCGGCTGCACCTGGAAGTGCATCCACTCACCGTGTAGGAGGGACTCTGAAGGAGAGAAAACATCCATTACAAAAAAACGACCATTACAAAATCTTAAAATATTTCCTGTTGTCTTTGAGATAAACACCACACATATTTCAAAAATCTGTTGATGGAATGAAAGTAATGCCACCTCATGCTTGACCCTTTACTTTCTTTTTAATTGTATATTTAATTTAACTCTCTTTTTCATTCTGTATTTAATTTCTCTTAGGAAGTTGCTGACAATTTCAGCAACATTATGTCCCTTTCTGAGGTATCCTGACATCTGCCCTAAAGGCTTGTTGAAAACCCTATTGTAGAAGGGACACCACTGGTGCGAAGCCAATGTTAACCCAGCAGAACAAGTTGCGGTTTTCATTTTCTGTTTGCATTTCCTTTCCCTTCCCTTTCTGGCTGGAAAGAAAATTAATACAGTAGGTCACACTCAGTCTGCTTTATTTCCTCTTGTGCCCAATGAGGTTGGAATATTACTTTTTATTATCCAAATCAATATGTTCCGAAATAACCTTTTTTAATTTGGATTTTCCTACTATGTACATGGTATATATTGGGTCATAGGAAATGGTGCATTTTTTCTTATATATTAAGATGAAAAATGGTATAAATATTCTAAGAGGATTTTCAGTTCAGCTGCCTTCATCTTAAATTTGTTTGCATAGTCTTTTTCAGTTGAAAGCAAAATTTGAAGAAAAAGAAAAATTTTGGAAGAACTCACAAACCATTTCATTTGTAATTTGGTTCTTTTCTGCAGAGTATTTATACAAGTTATTTGCTTAATTAGTGGAGAGAGAATTTGTGTTTCGTGACATTTAGAGAGCACATCTAGAAATTAATTTTAACCTTGTTACTGATTGTACTTTACTAGGGCAAGCAGAGGTTTTGTTCTCAGAACCAGCAACTCAACTCTACCTTTAGGACACAATAAAAATATCTTTATCCTCAGCTCCAAAAGTTACCTCCCTGTGAATGGGAGCATTTCTTCCTCCAGTGTTGGTGATGAGCAGGAACCACAAAAGGAAGAGACAAATCTCCACCAAATCCACAGGACACCCTCTAATGTAAACATCAGCAACCACAATTAGAAGGGTAAATAACACATATTAGAGAGTGCGCAGTTGTGTGATGTCAACACCCATCTCTGTGTTTAATGTCTTGCTGTGACATATGTTCCAGTGTCTAAACAACAAGAACACATCCTAGTGCCTTATAGAAAAAGGCAGAGTGGGTTCTCCCTTTTGAAGCTGCCAGATAAAAGCAATTATGATAAATCACCTGAGTAAAAAAATATCCTGGAGTGAACTCCTGGCCCTGGCCTCAGCCAGTGGCAGAACTCCCATTGACGTCAGCAGAGTTATTTTACCTCTGTTTTTGGCCTGCCTGATGGGAGGAGCATCCCCAGATGCAACTTTCAGTTGTCATATCAGATGTCCCTTAAAAGCTCTGCAGTGACTGCTGGGTTCTGTGTGACTCGTCCCATGTGGATGTGGAGCACTCGGAGTTCTCCTGCCCAGCAAGGGTTTCCCTTGGGTGAGAGATTTCTTTGCTCACGTTTTATAGAAGAAATACCTGCCTCCAAATTCCTTTGTTCATGTTCCAGCCCTTTTGCCAAACTCCTGATTTGTTTGGGATTTGTGGGCGTAGGAATCCTGAAGGATCTGGGAGCTGCTGCCTCCCGCTTCAAGCTCCTGCTCACCTTGCTGAGCTCAGGCACCCATTGCCTGTTCAGGCACACAATGCTCTTCTCTTCCCAGATTTCTGGAAGCATAGGGAGCCAGAAAAATCAGGCAACTGCCAGCCACAAAAACAGGTTTTTAAAGGAGCTTTCAAGGCAGTTTATTTAAAAGATCTTGGGAAAATCTTTTCCATGATTCCTCTTTACTAATCGCTCGGGTTTTTTTCCCTTTGATTCTCAAAATTTACATTTATAGATCTTCTTTTGTGAGCTCAATTTTTGTTGCTACTTATTGCATATTTTTGTATTTATGTCTTAAATATAGTTTTAAAATCTTTCTTATTTTTTTGGTTTCTGGTTGATCTTTTTCAGCCCAGTGACATATTCAAAGCCCAAGAAAGCTTCAAATAAGGAAACTGACTGGAATAAGTCAGAAATAAAACATTTCTATTTTCTTTTGATGTCCAACTCCTTTAACCTGTAAACTTTAACAAGACAAATTTCTTTTCTAAAAAGCAGAAAGAATTCTTTTTATAGCTACAAGCAAAAATAAAATATTTCCTTACGGAAGTAGGATATGCGCATTGGGACAATGCCTGATTTTAATAAGGACTTCAAAAGGCAAAGTGATTAGTTTAAATTATGATTTATGCCTTTGATGTCAAAATGAAAGACAATTACCGTTTATTTGGCAAAAGCAAACTTTGCAAAGATTTATTTTTACTTTCATTTTATGCCTGTGATAATGCTGTGTGTCTTCACTGAACTGTTTTGGCATGCAAAGGATTTATTCACACTCTGAGTTGATATGTTTGATTCTCATCAATTTAACCATTGCATATTACAAGTTATTATATACTGGTGCCTTTTACAGAAAACAGTGAAGCTCCACAAAATTATTTTGTTATTCCAGTGAGCTCACTTGGTTTGTTTCTCCTTGATAACTAATTCCTATTAGTTTTGAGGATGATAAGGCACTGATTTTTAAGTTAAAATGTTGAAAGATGAAACCCCTGGACCAACATGTTGCTATGAATATCAGTTATTTGGAAAAAGGGAGGACACATTTTGTATTTCCCAGCTCTTGAACCAGGGGCTACATTATGCATGCAGATCTTCCACACAGGCAATGAATGACCCAGAAGAACGAGGTCAAAACACAGCATTGCTTTAATCAAAAATGTTTGCTAAACAAGGATCAAAACATACCCAAAATACTTTCTATTTTAAGGGGGGAAAAAGCACCAACAAGCAAACAACAAACAAACCACTGGAAGTTTTGTAACAGAAAACATCTTTTCCTACTTTCCTTTTAATTTATTTTCAAATGATAGCTTCACCTTCAGCACTTTCATGTGTTGGCAGCCGCAGCTCAAAGGGAATCTCCTTCCAAAGGATTCCCATTTCAGGACTGAACATAAAACATGGATTTTTGGGAGGAGGGCAAGGGTGATCCAATTAATGTAGATCCCTTGGGACAGACTAGAGAAACAACCCAGAATGGTTGGGGGTTTTATTTATATATTTATATATATATGTGTGTGTGTGTGTGTGTGTGTGTGTATTTATATTTATCTCAATATTTCTGTCTCCCAGAACTTGACCTCTCTCATCATCTTTGGAGTCTCACAATATGTAGAGAATATGAAACTAATTTTTTTTTTAGGGAATTTGATTTTTTTTTGTGTTTTTTTTTCTTTGTTTGTTTGTTTTTCGCAGAAAAGAATTCAAATCAGCAATTGTGCTTCCATTGGTTTGTATCCAGGTTATCTAAGCTTCAAATCCATGTCCATGAGCATAAAACATAGGCATAGTGTTATTGTTTAAATTGTGTTATTTTACTCTGTAAAAAAAAATACTTCTAGGAAAAACTTAACATAAAAAGAACTGTACTCCTGTACACCAGGAAAACAACTGGCAAGAAGAAAATTATTGCAGGCTGACATTTCAAGAATTTGTGTGAGTTCATTAAAAAAAATAGCAAAACTGATTTTTATGAGAATGCCAAATTGTCAAAAAAATAAGCAGTTACACTCAAATACTGTTATGTCAGCATTTCCATTTTGTCTTTCTGGGTTTTGTAGGTCATATATAAAGGCTCACTCAGCACTAAACTGAGTTTAGGCTCTTTATCACGCATAATGAAAAGGAAGTGTCTTTGGTTTAGATAGTTTTAAGGCATCCTATCCTAAATATCACTTCATGTTCAAATGAATCCCAAGAGAAGTCTGTTCTGTGGATTTGCAAAATGAGTTTACTGATATTTAACTTTTTTAGTAGAGTTGTAATCTCTTATCTTGTCAGTCCAGACCCAAATATACTCAGGACTGAAGGGTTTCATTCATGGGCTTTGCTTTCAAAAGCATTAGGCAAATTAAGTTTTGGATCTGCTTCTTCCCTTGGAATTATTTTTCTGATGTAGATTCTGAGGAGTTTTCCCTTGACCAATGTTCCAACAGATTACTGGCAGCTAAAGGATTGACAGAGATGGATCTTTTTCTATTGGACTTATGAGCATTTCTGTTTGGAAAATCTGGCATGCTACCAGAATGGATTTTATTCTCTCCCAGAACATTTGTTGAGTATAATGTGTCAAACAGGTAAATATGAAGAATTCAAATCTTCCAGGAATGGAAACATTTTTTTTGTATGACACATACCTAAAAGTTTGAACTTGGTGGCTCCCAGCTCTTCATCCATTTGTGTGACATAGACACCAGAACCTAGAACTTCCAAAATTCCAGTAAAGGCAGGAGCTTTGCAGCTCCAGACTGGGAGGCCCATCACCTGCAAACTTGGGAATGTTGGGAAAATACCAACCTCTGAGTAGGTTCCTCCGTGTTGGTCTCCAAACAACAAAGTCTTCTGAGCTCACGGGAAAATTCTCATCCTCCTCCCTGGGTGACTCAAATCCAAACTGTGGAGAAAGTGTGTTCTTCTTTATCCTAAAAGTTCCCAAAGTGTTTTCCAAGACTATCTCTCATTTCTACAAAATAAGAGGAAAATTATCTAGATTCAGTAGTACTGGATAAGACTGCAAAAAATTGGATTGAAGTTGATGGAAATATCAGTAAGTGTGACCAGTATTATTAGGATAGTGGCAATACTTAATTTTTGGAAAAAATTTTTTCTTTTTTTTTTAAGAAATACTTATGTTAAACAGTTTTTCCACCTTCAGTGAGGTTTAATATCCTCATGTAATGAAAGGTCATTTAAAATAATCTCTAAAGCAGATTGATTACCTTATATATTAACCACATCATACAGCTCCTCTGACAGTGACACAGTAGCTTGTTTTGCACTCATGTAAATTTAAATCTGTATTATTATTGTTGTTATTGTTATTGTTGTTTTTATTATTATTATTATCAATATTATTATTATTAATAATAATAATAATAATAATAATAGTAGTAGTAGTAGTAGTAGTAGTAGTATATGCATTTTAAAAGTCCCTAATCCACAGCATTACAGGAAAAAAAAGCACAAGGACTGGGTATTTTTGCCACTATACTTCTGGTATCTTTTGCAAGTAAAACAGGCACTTTTTCAAATTACATTTAGATATTACCTTTATCTCTAGTGTCTAAATTTCTATGGCTAGCAGACCTTAAATGTGAAAAAAAAAAAAAAAAATACTGGTTCCTTGTCTGTCAGGAAGATAGAAACCCCAGAAAAATAGCACATTCTTAGAATCACAGTTTTTGTCCCAAAGGCAGCAAATGCCTGTGACACCTCCTTCCAGTCCGGTTGCCAGCTGGGCCCTGAAGAGCCAGGGAAGATGGGATTGACAGAGCCCCAGCTATTTTCTGCACACAGCACTTTGCTCCTTTAGAACCTGAGTTATGGACAGCAGTTCTTTCTCCTGGAAAATCTCTCAGGGAAAGGGAACGTGTTCCAACAGAAACAGGGGTGTGAATTTATGTGTGGGATAAGAGGACTGAGAAGGATCCTTTAGGTTTTATTATCAGAAGTATCTGTGGGGAGGGAACCACCTCATCAGAATGCTCCTGACTCTTGGCACGGGGGTGGGAATTTCCATTCTTTATCCTCTTCTGGGTGCCACGTTTCTGATGTGTCTCCCCTCTCCTGTCACTGCTAAGTTCAGGTTTAGCTCCTCCCAAACAGATCCAAAGCAGTGGCTTAATGTGAGTAATAGCTTACTCTGTAGTAGTATCCTACTAAAATACACCAGCTAGGGAGGAAAAAATATGTAGGGAGATTAATGCCAGGGTTTGTCCAAGAAAATGTCTAAACCACAGAGGAAGAATTAATGCAGCAGTATTTCCATTAATATTGAGGTCAATGTGCCAATTCCACCATCTACTCAGCATTTGGTCTCATTCTCTCCTAGACTTTACTTGCCCCAGCAAACTCTTTTAGAGTGCCAAACCAAGGAGGGTTGTTGGTAATTTTCTCATCTGCTCCTGTTCAGAGGCTTGAGGCCTTTCTATGGAATTGTCCCCTCCTTTATTCTTCTTCCAGAGACAGCTGAGAGTGTTGCCTATGCAAATCTGAGATAAAGCCTGGGACAGAAGAGCACAGTGCTCCAATTTCTGGTAGAGATGGAAGGGAGGAACTGAATAATTGGTTAAAAAATAATTTGCTAGTTTCAGAATCATCAAAGAATTCTGATTGCATTGCTGAGGAGAGCAACCAAGTCCATCTGGCTTTCAGAAGAGTGGAAAGTGTCCTTTTATGCCAAAGCTAGTCCATAAATGTCTGGCTCAGATCCCAACTTTGTTGGCTCATTATAAGCACTTTTATTTGACCTTTTTATTAGTGTCAATGTTGTTCCAAGCACACACATGTCTTAGATTCTCAAACAGCATGAAAATTAAGAGAGATGGTTTCATAAAAAATTAAATATACGGCAGGTATCACTGTGTTAAATTCCTTGTCAGAAACCAGTGAGAAGAGAGGTCACTTTGTGTGTCATCTGTGGATTTTTTTTTTTTTTTACTTGGGTGCCAAACAGAAAAATAATAGATAATAAAAAAAGTTGTGGCCTGTTGAAGGTATTATAAGAAATCCCACCATATGATGTAAATATAAAATTGTACTTTGGGATTATTTGTGCCTGTATAATAGCTTGTTTAAACAGGAAGTTTTGTTGTTTCTGGTAGTGCTATATCTATCTCGTGGTCTCTTACTTGACAATAACAAGCATATTGTATTTCTTGGAAATCATTGTACATAAGGTTCTATGTCATAAAAATAGGAAAATTAATTTAGTTTAAAAAATTGGACCTTTTAGGAAGTTTTTTATGTTCATGAAGAGAAATAGAGCTATAAATTTGAGTTTAGATGTGTTTAGATAAGCTGATAAATTCAGTCTGGAATTTCTTGATACCTGTCAGAGCCAAAATGAAATTCATTATGAAGTGTTGTCAAGGTTTAATCCCAGCCAGCAGCCCAGCCTCACACAGCCACTCACTCACTCCCCCATCAGTAGTATCAGGGAGAGAACTGGAAGGGTAGAAGCTGGAAAACTCATGGGTTGAGATAAAGACAGTTCAATGGGGAAAGCAAAGGCTGCACACAAGCAAAGCAAAACAAGGAATTAATTCACTTTTTCCCATGGGCAGGTGCTCAGCATCCCCAGGAGAGAAGGGATCCCCATCACACCTAACAGTGATTTGAGAGTACAAATCCCATCACTCCAAATGTCCCCTCTTCCTCCTTCTTCCCTACCCTTTATATCCTGAGCAGGATGTCACTGGAATATCCCTTTGGTCAGCTGGGGTCACCTGTCCTGGCTGTGTCCCCTGCACCCCCAACCTCCTCTCCAGGAGGACAAAAAGCAGGAAAGGCCTTGGCTCTGTGTGAGCCCTGCTCAGCAACAACAAAACCATCTCTGTATTATCAGACACAAAACACAGCCACACACCAGCCACTGGGAAGAAAACTAGGTCTACCCTAGCTGAAACCAAGTGTGCGTGGCTTGAAAGAACATTGTGACACATAAAACATTCTATTTGTTTAATTTTTCATCTATAGGTCCAAGTCTAAAATACATGGACAAACAAGAACTGGACCTCCAGCTTGGAAATTTTATTTTTTATTGCAGAACAGGGTGACTCAGAAATTTGTAGTGGATGGAGTTCAAGCCATTTATCCAAATCTGGACCAAGGTGACAGTGATTGCAGGGCAGTGGTGGCTGCTGTGTGTGTTTGAGGGGCTGACAGGCACACAGGCCTATGTGACAGGCCTGGGCAGGGAGGTGGGAGCACCAAACCACATACACTTAATGTAAAGTAACCTCACACAACCCACTCCTGGCACTCTCAGCCCAAAGGCCAAACATAGAACGGGCACTGAGACAGAGCTAAACTTTCCACCCTCTGTAGTAGTGGCTTGAAACACACTTTTCAGCAGGGCGGGTAGTGAGAACACGGCTTTATTGCCGCCGGCCCTGCTGTAGCCAGTCTATGGAAAAACTGAAGAGTGGAGCTTCCAGCAGCGCCAGCATGGTACTCCTTATAAACCCTTTCCCATTCCACCATTGTGCTTGGGTTCTGCTGGAAAATGTGAGTCAGCCCTATGGGCTTGCACCTCCACCATGGCTGACAGGGGTTCTCAGCTGAGCACAGCTTTGCAATCCATTTCCCTGAAATGCTGCTCAGGATGAGGTGGCACTGTTCAGAGGAGGGATTAAATCAAAACTGTTTTATTCAGAGCCTTTTAGTTCATCTGCTCAATGCCCAGACAAAGAGGGTTGTCATGGACTGAGGGCTGGAGAGAGGCCAGGCTGGAATGGGCCCAGGACAGCAACAAGACCTGGTCACAGACCCCAGGCCTGGCCAGGAAGCCCCTGGAGCAAGAACAGGGTCATGTACAGAGACACTGCTGCATTAAGAGTACAGAAATTTGGCAGAAATAAATTGCCTTGTTTTCCACCTCAGAAATCAAAGGGCTGGGTGCATCTGGGCTGAATTTCTGATAATAACCTACATGATTATGGGTCACATGCAATAAAGTCCCAGAAGCAGCAACAGTGTGGGTTACACCCTAATTTAGGTCTCATCCATGATCACAGTGTCACCAAAACTGTGTTTACCAACCCAACTCCATAAGTCTGGTTGAATTCAGTAACTTTTACCAGCAGATTCACCAAGAGTGCAACAGGTTTAGATTTATTTAGATTTTACATTTATTGAAGCAACTGGGTTTAGGCTCTGTCAAATTGCCACTGATAATTGGATTAGCTCTACAAAATCCTTGTGTACAAATGTTACAGGTACTCCAACAGGGTTGAAGGCACAAATCCTAACAAAGAGGTGTTCCTGATTTGTGGAGGAGGGAGGACCAAGCCTGTCAAGTTGCCTGCAAGATGGTCAAATTATCATTCTCTAACACTGAGGATTTCAAATGCCAACTTGTGCTTTGGAGGGAAGTGGAAGTGAGACTGGAGTCAAATACTCTGCTGTTGATGTCATGGTGGCGGTAACCATTTTATATATAGTGAGGGATATCAAAGTTACAAAGGGAGAGGTTACAGAGGATGTGGGACTTGTGCAGAGATATAATAGAAACATGAGGCTTTAACATGTCTCCCACTTCTACCTGGCTGAGGCAGCAATTAGAGTCATCCAGCCTCCCCTTGCTAACCTCTCACCCTCAGCATGTCACCATGTTCACGCATGTCACGGCATATCCCACAGAAATCCCTTCACCACATCCCACATTGTCCCTCATGGCTTTAGGTCTCATTCTTACTCATGCTCACCTACATCACCCTGACTCACTAGGAAAGGCTGCTTCCAAATTTTCAGCTCAAGGAAACCAAACCCTGGAGTCAGTCAGGGTCCTGTCAGAGCTGTGAGAGTCTTAGTGAAACAAACAACTTGAAGCACTCAAACAGGTTTTGTTCTGGCTTTTTGTGTTTTATGGATGCAAATTGTTACAGTCAGTGAGATCATCTTAAAAGGACTTTGACTTTTTCAGATATTCCCAGAAGGGACCTCCGCTCCACAAACAACGCT